CGAGCGTGAACCAAAGAGCTTGCAATCTTAGGCAGTCAAACTACTTTACAATGTAGACTTCCTGGCTAATCGTACCATTGCTATACTAAATAAAAAAATAACCAAGAATGGACTGTTTGTGCAGCATTTTTGCAGGGTTTGACAACCCAATATGGGAATGAAGTTCTCCAACTCCTATTCCATTTAGGGAATTATATTCCTCACATGTGTGATTGTATGGTATGTGCTTATGTATGTATTTTTACTTCTTTCTTGTTACATTTCCTGGTGGTTCCTCACTTTGTATCCACTGGGGGAATGTCCTCCAATCAACTGATCTAACTTTTAAAATTTGTTTTTATATATCCCATTGTATTTCTGTACCACTGCTGTACTTCTTTGCTCAGAAATAGCAATTGCATTTTTTCCTTTTAATGTAATTGTTGTGTGTTTGGGTATTTAACTTTTGTTAACTTCCCAGAGAGCCTCAGATACTGGGAGGTCTATAAATGAAATAAATAAATAAACATGCCATTTTCCTAGGTTTATTCCTCCCCACACACACATATTCAGCAATAACTAATTAGCCCAGTCTATGTTTTTCTCCTGTTCATTAACAATGCCTGTTAGAAATAAGTATATCTCCTTATGTGCAAGACATGGGGCTAATCAAGTAATTTTCTTCTGCTGCAATATTTGCCCAATTTAAGTGTGTCTTTAGGAATCATGTTTGGAAAAATAGACCTTGATTTGCTTTAGAAGTTAAGTAGAATGTGTGTGTATGTTTCCCCAAACTTAGTGACTTTCTGCTAAGTGTCTAAAACTTAGAATCAGCTGTTCCCCATTTGAAGATTAGTTCGGTGGCTCCACATTTTTGTGGTTCTGGAAACGGATCACCAAGGTGTATATCTGAAGAAGGACACATTGCAATATTAACTAGGTTTCTCTGCACTATTCCATACAGTTTCTAAAGATTTACAAGGTTTAGAGTTGGAATCATCCAAAGGATTTGACAACCAGGAATGTAAG